TTACTCCATTTCCAACTGCGAGATACAGACAGTCAAACTTTTTCGACTACTTGTTCAATGTGTGATTGCTTTTAGCATACGATACAAAAATTTATTCAGGATAAAACAAAAACGGAAGAAAAAAAAGCATAGCTAATTTAATAAGTACATTTTTTTAGCTCCTTTTATTAATCTTAGCAGCATTTGTTATACTCACGCAGGTGAGACGTGCATTACTTTTCAATCCATTCGAATTAACCTAACTCACACAACAAAGCAAAATGTTTACAATCAGATTCCTCCCAATTATTTAGTACTTCATTTCGATCCATAACTGAAATAACGGTGGGGCCGATGTCGTTGATTATCCACGAATTGGTTCGTCCAAATTTAATACTTTTAACTTCAGTATTCAAATTGTTTATGGTCGCTTATTACTGATAATAGATCACATTTACGTCACGCGAAGAAAAGGAAAATCACTTGTTAGAATTAATTTCACTAGGAGGTTTAATATATGATAAAGGTGAAAATACTGGGTTGCTTTGCAGGGATTAGTTAAATATTAATTGTAGCAGTATTACCTGGCGTTTATTTTTTTCAGGCTTAAGACGTATTTATCATAATCAGTGTTAAGGGGAATCTCTTCGCAGTGCTACTTTCACTATTTCTTGAAAGCATGACTCAACAGTGATACGACCATTTAAATCAAGTACATAAGTTTGGATCATGTTGCCATCCTTAGTGAGGAAAATGGTATGCTGTTCAGTGCAAACTGGGAACCTTTTGAAGAAAGGTAAAGTTTTGCAAGATTTCGGACAGTTTTATGAAACTTGATTTTTCGTTTGCTTAAACATCGTTTTTCACTAATTGCAGTTACTAGAAATCAGTTCTTTCTATCCATATATTCATTGGCTTTTAATATTTGTTGAAAAACTGTTAAATAAATTTCAAGGTTCACAGGAAGGAATCACGCCATATAATTTTAATAATATCTTGATTAATCACACCTTTGGAATTTTCTCATAATCCTTCCAAAAATTTCATTTTTGGAAGGATTATGAGAAAATTATGAGAAAATCTTTTCAACTGATTTGTAATAAAGTCTTTTCAATTAGTTTATAATATAGTCTTTTCAGGATATCGTACACGCTCTAACTTCAATCGACAACGACGTTTGGAATTGTTTTGTAGTGAACTAAAGCGGCAAGCAAGGGTTTATGAAAAAAAAGTTGAGAAGGTTGGTTTCAGAAAATGAAATTTATCATAAGCTTTAACATTTAAAGGTGTTTGAATGTTGCACCGAAATGTGCTTCAACGTCTTTTGTAGAAGCGTGGTGGCGTATGATATATCCATCAGAATAGAATTATGGGCATATGATATATCACAGAATAAAATTATTATTTGGTTCCAGAGCAGTTTTTTATTGCGCATTAATTTTTTTACTAAAAAACTTATATGCGAGACTTTTCTTAGGTGTTCTGGACAATTGAAAGTGAAGCTGATAGCGATCCCGTGAAAGTTTTGATGAATCGAAATATTTCGACTTATCGTGATTGCATGAAACGTAAGATTAGTTAATGTTCATTCAAATTTTTTCAAAAATTTCAGTTCACGGTTCGAATTTTGTTCAGACTTTATTTCGAAAATCGTTGCCTCATAGTTTGTCACTCTTCCGTTATCTGGTTACATGCATACATCATTAATGCTTTCACTGATCTTCGAGAAAAGTGATGATGGATTAAAGATTCTTTTCTACTGATCTGTAGTTGTTTTATTCTATCATTTTTGTAAAAACCCACTTTGTAGAAAATTAGAAACTGAAAATATTGGAATTCAGATATTTCACGATTAAAAGCCGATCGTATGGCACTGGCATATGCGAATGGTTCTTATAAGTCAGTATTGGAGAAGCTGTCGGGTAATGGAAAAATGACACCGTTGGATTATAAGTGCCAGAATAAACATCACGCCAATGCCGTTAATATGGTTGTAAATTTATCCTTATTCGTTTATTTACACATTTGTTATTAATTTGCATATTAACGTCCAGCTTGTTTAGTATATCAGTCGTTATTCATTTTGTTCGTATATAAAGAATGAAATAATTGGATGGAATTTGTTTTTTTCCTAAATATATTGTTTTTTGATATACAAAAAGAATTTACGAAATGTCTCTATAGGCTTACTGGCGAACATGTGCGTTCTTATTAGGTGCTGTTATTGACCGAGCGTTTGCTGTTGATGTACAGTTAGTTGGTCCTTCTAAAGTAGATTGTAAGTTTTTATTTCTTTCACATAGTTTGATTCGTGATTGATAACCTATTTGATGTGAAGATATCGAATGGAATTCGGCTTAGTCTATTCTTTATTATTTATTTCTAACTATTTAGATCATTCCGGTAGGTTTGAATATATAGCGAGGATAGAAAATCAGGAAAACTGGACACCAAATTCGGTAAGTGTGAAATTTCTGCATTCTCCACAAGTTTTCTTTGTGCTAAGCGTAAGGGATTGTATGATCGAGTCACTTCTAGTGAGGTCATATCTCTTTTCGGTTTAACTCTATAATTAAAAGTGTACTTTATTCTCATCTCCTTGGGGCAAGAAATTCCTTTTAGAAGCCTGAAGTGAATTGAGTTCCTCTAATCTCATTCTTGGGTTCTTGAACAGTAATTCCAAACCAGTTTTGTGTTTTTATTTCTCTTACCAAGAAGCACTCAATCATCTTATCTTTATTGTATGCACTTCATTTTTTAGTCCCTAGTATTGTACACAAATTTTTAGGAAAATTTATTTGCATTGACCGAAAAAGCCATTGGAGAATACATCGCAAAACCTCTGGTCGTCGAACCGTTGCTTGTATCACTAGAATTTGCAGTGGATTTGTTTGATTCAAATGTGTATGTACATATTTCAGTTTTCAGTTCCTAGTTGTAGTAATGTTTATGATTTGTTTACTAACCAATCATTTTATCATTTTATAGTTGGAAACAAAAACTTGTTCATGAAGTGAAGCATGAAACCGAGGATGGCAAACAAGGAGTAATTATTTATCGAATGGGTGATTTTGTGGATCTAACTTACGGGCCTTTGATTCCACACACCAGTCATATTGATAAATTTGCTCTGACTAAAGTGATTATATCTTTTTTTTGGCTTTTTATTCTTGATTCTGCTGAATAGAGACAGAAGGTTCCTGACGACTTGAATTGATGCTCATCATTAGATCGTTAAGTTTTAAAATAACATTCTGCTAATTTCAATTAAAATTGATAAAAGTATTTTGGCTGACCGTGCATAATGGAGAGGCAAAATATAGAGATGTTCGTTTTACTTTTATAATTAATAGTTTTCAGGTGGAACAGGAGGGTTCCGAATATTGTTTCGTTGGTGTATCTGTACCGAAAGAATTGAAATGCTCATCATATTCGTGGGATCTAATTTGTAACGCTTCAGTTATGCCTCCTGTTAAGCGTCGAAAGTTACTTGAAGCTTTTATCTGAGCATCTGATTTTAGTACTATGGAATTCTAGTTCTGTTTGTACTAAAAAAATCACCGTTCGCAATTTAAATAAATTATTAATTCCAACTCGACTCGCTTACTGTTGGAGATAGGTTTTCTTTCTATCCGTTAGTACGGTTCTTTGTAGGTTCTGCGATTGTTGGAAAGGTTTCATCTTTAAATCGTTGTAATGAAATTAAGTGCGAATATCTTTACCTCCCTCTTTTCTTTTTTCCTTATTTAAGTATTCTGTTATTCTATTCTATCAAGGTGATTATTCATCCTTATTCTCTTATTCTTTACTTCAAAGAGATTTCAGCTCATCCTAGATATAACTTTTCTTATCTGCAGCATACTTTCTTTGCTCACATTTTTGCACAAGTTTTGCATCCTAGAAGTCCCTTTCGTTATCACAGTACAACGAGCATTGTTCATAGCTTACAAAGTTTCTCATCCGCTTAACCTTGTTTTTTTTTTCATAATCATATCGATGCCATTGATTGCACTCATTTTGAGAATAGTTAATCTGTTTGTAATGTTACAAAGATAAAACTATTAAGTTTTTTTTACTTTTCCACAGATTTTGTTCTGCTATTTTTGTTATCAGTATGTTTCACATAGATATTTGCTGGTTAGGAAAAATTGAGTGTTCTTTTGGTATTTATTATTAGAACAACGCTAAGGTGATATGTAGTTGACAATATCCATTATAACAAAGATGATCAGTGTGAAAAATTGAAAACAATATGAATATTTACTATAAATAACAGTTGATTAATTACTGTGTTTGGGGAAATTACGAGAATATATATATTATACGGTGGCCGAAGTGCAGCGAAGTCTATCTGCTCGTTTAAAAATAATAAATTTTTCATGCATAATAACCCACTGATTATTGGAACCAAGTATTCCTTACTACTGGTGCACCTGCCCACCAAAAACAATCTATCATATGTTGTTAACTTGTTGAAAGATCCGATCGTCTGTGTCTCGCAGTTGG